ATTTATAAGTATATATATATATATATATATATATTTTTAAATATTAAAGAATCTTAAGAAATACACATGTAATAAAATTTCATTCTGATTGTAATTATAATGTTAAATAAAAAATCTATTAAATTATAAATAAATAAAATGATAATCTAAATATTTAACATGCTAGTATTACATATAAATTATATATTTTTTTATTCTTCTTTTATTATTCTTATGTAGTCTATAAATTTGTTGAAATTAATATTCATCAATATTCAATTATAATATCTTGTGCGATTTCCTTGTTAGGTACCAATAACGGACATTGACCTTTCGGATGTCTGTTACCCAGGCAACCGACAGAGCGCTAACCCCTTCTAATGTGAATATACCATACAGTCATCACAACCACCCGATGGTTGTCGAAATATAAACGATATAATTATGTTCGTTTGATACTTACATTCATTTTCATTTTTTAAAAACATGTATCTGTGAATCTTTTGTATTTTTTTTTCTTTAAAATGAAAAGAAACAATTTTTACACTAATTATGTATAATTTAAAATTTCTTTGTTTCATATTATTTATGCTTTAAATATGTGCTTTTTAAGATGTGAAAACGAATAATAGTATATTCAATTTTTTAAACGATAATTGAAATATTGTATGATTAATAGTGAAATTTAATATTATGGATTTAATATGTTTTGAGATTTAATTTTGGTGAAATTTGATAATAGAAATTTAATTTAAATAGGTAAGTTTATTTAAAATGATATAATATTTATAATAAAATATTTATAATATATATTAATGAATATTTATGAATCTTTTATAATAATATTTAAGTTTGAATATATTATGTTAGTTATATATTCTTTTGATTTTAAAATCTATAAAAAAATTTAAAATTAAAAATTTTATTAAAAATATATTATTAAAAATTTTAAAAATAAAAAAACATCAAACATAAAATTAATACATTTAAACAAATTAAAAAAATTAATACATTTAAACAAATATTCAAGATTATCTATTCTTCAAATTAAAAATAACAAATTTTATTATTGCAAATATACAATTTTTTTTTATACATATATTAATAAGAGATTAAGATAAGAATTAAAAAATGAGGAAAATGATATAATATAAATGAAAGAAAACAAGTTATAATCTGACATATTCAAAATGTATATAGATATTTCTGATGCAAGATTTCATTTTTCTCTCATCATCGACCTATTAAAAATATATGACTACCAAGAGATAACAAAAAATTTATGAATATGATTAGATTTCTGAATGCTGTATTAAGAGAATTGACCCAGAACCTTTTCTTGATGATAACATGATAGTTGACAATAATTTATAATTAATACTATATTGTACTATTGATATTAAATTTAATATTGTATTTATCAATACAGGAATAAATACAATAATCAAAACTTCCTTTTGCTTATCAATAATCATATGGAATTCTAAAAGCATTTCTATATAATATAATATATTTATTATACAACATAATAATCTTATTTAGATATTAAATATTAAGTATATATTATATATATATTAAGAATTATAGTTACTTACATTGTAACTAAAGAACTTTGTTTTGATTTAATATCCTTACATGTATCTTCCACAATTTCCTGTTAATAAAACTAAGATAAAAATTTATTTATAATAAACTTTTTGTAAATAAAACTTAGTTTGCATTTTTTAATATTCATAATGTAAAGATTATATAATATATAAAGAAAAAATAATATATAATATATAATAATATATAAATAAGAAAAAAATATATATAATATATATAAATAAAAATTATACAAATATAAAAAATATAAAGTATAAAAAAACATTAAGTTTTACTTAATGATTATAATTAAATTTAAATAATGATAATCAGTTAATATTATTTCTGTATATATATATATATATAATATTTAACTTTAATATGCAAGATTATAATTTTATATTGTTTGTGATATTCTTACCAGATCAGTATTATGGATTTCATAACATCTATCTTGGATTACATTTAATGAAGAACAAGTATTTAATGTTAAAGATGTAACTAAAGTATGATTTTCAGTAAGGGATCTTTTTGGTATTATGGTAATATTAGAATGTAAATTACAGGTTTCGAGACTACCATATCTATAAGAAACATATAATAAGTAATTACTATTCACAATAATATTAATAATGACATAAAAAAAACAATAATATTTCAAATTTCTTATAATAGATAGAAATATTGTTAATTAATGAATAGTAAAAAAGTTGATACTTGAAATAATTATTTGTTGGAATATATTCTAAATTACTAGTCTCAGAATCTTGAAATATAACAGGTTCTACACTAATATGAGATCCTGAAGAGATTAAAGGTGCACTTTCAGATCCATTATCATGATGTATGCAAGATTTCCAAGCATTCTGATATTTATACATTTTATATTTAATTTATGCATATACATGCATATCATATAATAGAACTATTAAAATATATATAATGTATTATTAAACACATTTAAATATATTTATATTTATATTTTTAAATATTTAATTAAAATATAATAATAATATAAAATATAATAATTAATATATAAAATATAAAATAATATATAATATTTAATATAATAATATTTAATATATAAAATATAATATAAAAGTTACATACCTTTTATAATATACAATGTGTTAATATATCTAATAGTTTATTTCACTAAAACTTTACAAAATTTAATGAAGTTGTATTTTTGCAATAAATTCTAAATTTAAAATTAAATGAAATTGTGATTATATGAATTATTATTTCTATAATATTCTGAAAATTTATATAAACATAATAAAAAGAATGACTGAAAATCGTAAATCTATTTATAATTTAAAAAATCTTTTTTATAATTTAAGATTTTTTATATTTTTAATATTTAATAAGATTGCTACATCAATAATAAAATGTAATTTATAGCACCTTTCACTCATAGCACACATAACATGTATGAATGAAACTTCGAGAAAACTGTTGTTTTAAACAACTAAGCATCTGTTTTATAAATCCGCGTTCTTATATCGGATATCCTTGACATAACAAACTCCCTACTCCTCATTTTTCTTCAGTAATATTAATCGTCACAATAATCGTCTACGCATTCATATATTTATATACTTAAACATTTTCCTCTACATTTTCAAATATTTTTAAGAAAAAAATATCGAAATATTTGTAGAATAACAAGATATAAAGAATTTATGATATAACATATTTTTTCATTCAAAAAAATGATAAATTTTTTTTGCGATATTATATAAACTTTCAATTTTTATGTTATGAAAATGTGAATTTCTGAAATATCAGTATAATTTAAAATTATATTGAAAAGCATTAGTTTAGAAAATAAATATTAAATAAACTCTACTTCTTGTAAATGAGAACAGAATAAAATTTGTATGTTAAACTTATTTGTTTAAGACATAGGAATGATAAGACAAGTTTAATTTAGCATTTTTATTCATTTACCTTACGTGATTCACATTAAACGGAAGCCACTACTAAAATCAATAAGACGTCATTATTAACTTGTGATTATTGATATTTTTTATCAAATGTTTATATTTTATTATCAATGTTTTACTATAAGAATATTTATGTACTACATTTAAAAGATCCATTTTCATAAAGCCGATATTATTAGTCAATAAGTAAAGCGCGGGCGCAATATTTCAAGATGGTGACTCGTGCCCTTGTATGTCATTGGTAGACAAAGTTCAGTCTGCTAGCAGGCATCGAGGACGTGTTATTAAATTCTGAAATCTAAGTTTTTATTGTTATTTGATTTAACATAAAAACAAGTTATTTTTTGTTTTAATTATTATTTATTTTATTATATTATTAAATATAATATTTGAAAAATGTCAAATACTGTAACGAGCATAATTATAGAAACCCGAATATACGATGGACAAAAGCCGGGTACGTCTGGATTACGAAAAGCCGTACAGGTTTTCATGCAAGAACATTATACAGAAAATTTCATTCAAGCAATATTACAAGCTCTTGGAGACAAATTATTTGGTAGTACATTAGTTGTGGGTGGTGATGGGAGATATTATGTGAAAGAAGCAGTAGAAAAAATTATCAAAATTGCTGCAGCTAATGGAGTAAGTGTATTATTTAAATATAAAGGATTTATTTAAACTTATTTAAATTTAAATCTAAATCAAAAATATATTTATATTTTACTTTATTAAATAATTATTATCTTTTAATTTTCTTGATGAATGTGTACTATTTAATTTAATCTAAATAATTTTTATAATTCCAAAAATACATTAATAACAACATTATATTTACATTAATAACAATCAAAAAAAAAAAAATTAAATCAAATTTTAATGAAACGTTTTAGGTAAAAAGGTTAATAATTGGTCAAAATGGTATACTTTCAACTCCAGCGGTATCTACTATAATAAGAAAATATAAAACTTTAGGAGGAATTGTCCTTACAGCATCTCATAATCCTGGTGGACCAGATGCTGATTTTGGTATTAAATTTAACTGTGAAAATGGTGGTCCTGCTCCAGATTATGTCACAAATAAAATCTATGACATTACTAAAGTGCTCAAGAATTATAAAACTATATCTGATATATCCATAGATATAAGCAAAATTCAAAGTACTATAATACAAGTGGATGGAAATTCATTTATAGTAGATATAATAGATTCTGTTAATGATTATTTAGAACATATGAAAAATATTTTTGATTTTTCTAGTATTAAAACATTATTACAAGGAAGTAATGATCGTCCTCCTTTTAAAGTTCTTATTAATGCAATGAATGGAGGTATGCAAAACTTAAATTAATATAAATTTAATATATTCGATATTATATTTACAATTCTTTTTCAGTTACTGGCCCATATGTAAAACGAATATTTAGTAATGAATTAGGTGTTGACAATTCAAGCATTATTAATATAATTCCATTAGAAGATTTTGGTGGACTTCATCCTGATCCAAATTTGACATATGCTATAGATTTAGTAAATACTATGAAAAATAATCCATATGATTTTGGTGCTGCTTTTGATGGAGATGGAGATAGAAATATGGTAAATAAAATTTTTTAATTCATATGAAAAATGAATAAATAAAAGTAAATTTATATTATTTAATATTATTGTAGATATTAGGTAAAAAAGCTTTTTTTGTTACACCTTCTGATTCATTAGCTGTATTAGCTGCCAATTTAAATGCAATACCATATTTTAAAAAGACTGGTATTAAAGGATATGCTAGATCTATGCCAACAGGTGCTGCTGTAGATAGAGTTGCAGCTAAAAATGGTATTAAATTTTATGAAGTACCCACAGGCTGGAAATATTTTGGTATATATTAATGTTTGCTTATTTTTGAATTACATAGTATATTTTTTTATAATAACATTTTAAATATAATATTTTTCATTAATATTTTACTATTAGGAAACTTAATGGATGCTGGTCTTCTATCACTTTGTGGAGAGGAAAGTTTTGGCACTGGTTCAGATCATATTCGCGAAAAAGACGGAATATGGGCTTGTCTTGCATGGCTAAGTATAATTGCAAATCTTGGAAAATCTGTAGAAGATATATTATTAAATCATTGGCAAACATATGGAAGGAACTTTTTTACAAGGTATTTATTATGTTATATAATTAATTATTATTATTATGTTATTTTTATTTTAATACATTATGTTGTAACTTTATATAATATATATACTAGATACGATTATGAAAATTGTGATTCTGAAGCAGCAAATAGAATGATGCAACATATTGAATCAGAAATACAAAAACCTGAATTTATAAATTCAAAATTAATATCTGAAAATAAAGTATATATTGTAAAATTAAGTGACAATTATTCTTATGTAGATCCTGTTGATGGAAGTCAAGCTAGCAAACAGGTATTGTATTATAATTCTATACATTTTACATTATATAATATATAATATATACAACATATTGAGATAGTATAGATTATTATGTAATTTTATAACAGGGACTAAGAATTTTATTTCAAGATGGTTCTCGTATAATTTACCGTTTATCTGGTACAGGAAGTTCTGGAGCTACTATTCGTGTATATGTTGATAGCTATGAAGATGATCCAAATTCTTTAAACAAAGATGCTCAAGAAATTCTTAAACCATTAGTTACTATTGCATTAAAAATAAGTAATTTACGTGAATTTACTGGTCGTGATGCACCAACCGTGATTACATAATACATAATTCTTATTATTAATAATTATATCATCATTAAAAATACACTATATAATAAG